CAAATACTAAGAAATAAGTTTGTTTGTGAGTGATGCGTACTGTCTATAGGTTTACGGCTTTTGAAGATTAAGTAAATGAAAGGAATGCTAAACTTTTCAAAGTTAGAGGCGTTGTCACCTTTCAGATTTCTCGAGTCCATGTTCTATCTATTTTACTGTAAGACTACGGTAAAAAGATTTCAAGAGCTTTGCGAGTTATGTTGCTTGGGTAGGAACTCTAAACCAACTTTTAAGATGACTAACATCGAGAATAGCTACGGCTAGACAAAATCTATTCCAAAGTTTCGAATTCCATTCTAACTCCCTAGTCTTTCAGCAATTTAGTGATGTACGGGTATGGTTTCTACAAATCCTTCTACAATTATTTATGAAATTCTGGTTGTTTTGGCACGAGAAGTACTTTACGACGGAAAATTTTTCAGAATCCGTTTTTTTTGGACATAGGAGAGTTCAACTATTATGACATTCCTCTTATCACTTTTATAAGACTTTTTTGGCTTTGAGGTTTATTTTTTTCGTGTCCAAAAGTGAAAACTGACGATAATCTGTGAAAAAATTCGTTTTCTGGCTTGTAGGGCGGTATTTACCACCACCAACTCAAAAATGGTGATGGTAAGAATTTGATTCCAATTTTGAAAGGGGGAATAATGCATGAACTTGTTATCCATTTCAATAAATTATGGACTAAAATCTGATGAGACAAAATCGCAAGAGGTTTTATCTTGAAGCTTTCTTTCTAAGCCGGAGAGGGCTTAGTATGATAGCAGTCAATTTTGGTCAGGAGACATTTTTGACCAATTTCTAAAACACTTTTATGCATAGAAAACATCAAGATGGAAATCTCCGCAACGCCCAGGATTCAACAGGGAGTTTATCACTATGAAAATTGTCATAATTTTGTCACATCTACTACGGATTAGTTCCCTTCGTATTTTGATAAACAACAGTTTCTCATTCATCACACAGTAGTTGACTCAGCGATCTAATTATTGATTTACTCTTTTATCGGCTAGAATCATCTATTTTAGGTTTCATTTCGGAATTATATCCTACATGCCGACATGCATATCGAACGATTTAAAATTAGAGAGGTAATGCTTTGTGATTTTTGAACTTTCACTCAAAACTTTTTCGACAGGTAGCTTCGCTAGTGGATGGCATCGATGAAGGCTCGCTAGAATTTCTAGTCAATGCTCTCACCGAGTTGATTTTGAATGAGGACATGGCGAAGAAGTTAAAGGGAGGTAAGCAGTGTTGA